TTGAAATTATTTTTTTTGATTGAAGATGCTTTTTGTTTGATTGAATAATAAAAACACAAATTTACCTCCATACTCCAGGTGCCAATCACAAATAATTAACAAATACGTGGGGATGTTGGGTTGTGTATTTGCCTTTATAATTTAACGATTGTTCACTGATGCTGCTGTACTGTATACAAATTCACCTGTTAAAATGGCTGAATTATAGCATTTGTAAAATTAGCATTAGCATTAGTGGTTAGCTTAATTTGGGTTTAGCATCAGCAGTCAGCATGTGATCATTCTTAGCTACGCCACAACAAATTTAATTTTAATAAGTCTTAAAGTGGCTGAATTATAGTCTTTCAAAGCTAGCTGTGGTGGCCATCTTGAATTTTTGATTAGTGTTTAGAATTTGGTAAAGATTGTTTTTGGCTACTTCTACGCTAATCTTCAGCTGTATGTTTAAAAACGGCTGAATAAGTTGTTTTTTGATCAACCTCAGCGGTAATCACAAATTTTCAGCTCCATATTTATTAAAACAGCTGAACTGAAGACATTTGGGATTAGCTGTGGCGGCCATCTTGAATTTTAATTAGCATTTAGAATTTGGTAAAGACTGTTTTTGGCTACTTCTGCACCAAAATGTCTGAATAACAAGTTGGGCAAATGTTTTAATCACAAAATTTCAGCTCAATGTTTATTAAACAGCTGAATGGAATCTGCTGTGGCGGCCATCTTGAATTCTCAGATCCAGCGTGCTTTTCTTTATTTGTTCGTATGTGCCTCCTTATTTAAAAACAAACGCCATGGTAGCTCCGCCCCCTGATCTTCCTCTTCCTCTCTCCTCAGTAACCGACTGACCCCCAGCAACCATGACCGGATACAGAGGCTGAGGCAGGAGTTCCAGCAGGCCCAGAACGTCCCGGAAGACCCGGATGACCGCCGGAGGACCTACAGCTTCGAGCAGACCTGGGTGAGTGTCTGAGCCAGCCCGTCGAGAGAGAGGGGGGCCAGGACCCGAGCGTTAGCCCGTTCACCCATTGTCACTAACCTCACTACCATCAGCCTCGAACAAAGACTGATGATCCTCTCACAGCTCAGGATCATCATTAACAGGCCTTCCTGCCTGATTAATTAACTGACTGCATGCTGGAGTCCATCACTAACCACACCTGTTACATCCACTCATCCATCGCCTGTTTCTGTCTGTCAATCATCCACCTGGACCCGCCCACCGCCGCCTCACGGACACTTGTGGAGCTTTTAACGGTGCCTTTTTATTTTTTTAAGTCTTCAATCATTTTTATCTCGTATCTGTTTAATTCAGAATCCTGCAGGGGATCATTAGAGCGTTGTGAGGCAACTAAAAGTAACCGAACAGAAACAAAGGCCTTTCAAGTGTTTCTTTTATTTTAATTTTTTTTTTTTTGTCTTTGAGGTGATGAAATGGCTTGTCATGTTTTTACTTATTTATTTGACTCTCCCTCAAACTGCACCTCAGGTGTGTTTTTTAGGGTTTTTACAACATTTTGAGCAACAAATGCTTCTATGAACCGGTTGACTGGAGCAGGTTGTAAATTTTGAGTATTATCTTTGTTGTTTTTACACACCGAACAGCTTTGTGTTTTCCTGTCGGCACGCCTTGTTCATTTTTAACATTTATTATGTCACATTTGTGTCCTGATTGTATCGGGAACATTTGGGTCAAAGGTGGCACAAATCAAGCAACGTTGAGTTCTGCGAATCATTTACAACAAATATTATGAACACTCTTGTTTTTTTACACAAAGGTGCATGCTTTTATTTTGTAAATATCTCTTTTTACTTCCAGTGCACCACCTCTGAGTCTGTGAGAACTGTGTCCCAGGATTAATGATTGAAATGATAAAGTGAAAGCTCTTGAACTGTGCTCGCGCTTTATTTTTTTTTAAATTTTACTTCTGGTTGAATTTCCCAATAAAATGGTGTAGTATTGTGTCGCAGTTGGCGGTGTTTCAGGAGTCGTGCGTGTTAATGGGATCGGTGGATGGGAGCACATTCCAGGCAGCTTTGTGCAGCCGGAGCTGGACGCTGTGGGAAAGAAGGGCGCAGGTCGTCCTCCTCTTTGTTCCCAAACAACCGAGCGTGAGTGAAATGAAAACTATGAACAGTAGCACAGATTCTGTTTCACCTCGTTTTTTTTTTTATTGTCCTTCTATTCATTCTCCCATGAAGGCTCGTTGTTTGTTACCCACTCAAAAAGTGAAAGGTCCATTTTTCTTTTGAAGCAGAGCTTTTTTTTAAATCAAACTCCATAAATAACCTCAAACGTGTAAATATTAAAGCTCAACTAGTCTACATTTATTCCACAGACCCCTGGTCTTTTCTTGTTCCGTTTACTTCCTGTTTCTAATCCTGTGTTTTTARGCTCATACAGGTGAGCCATGTGGAAAATAGAACGGTTCTTTGAAAGTCAATTACTCCTCCCGAACGTGTTGTTTCATCTGCAAACCTCAAGGAATCCTCTTCTCGTAATTCACCTACAGCTTCCTCTGGTTTAATCTGCTACAAAATAAAACCTGCCCAGGTTTTAATACAGGAGSAAAAAGGCTTAAGGGCTCGACYCACYYYAGGCGATGTCGCTCGCTCTCCATTCATTTCCTATGGAGCCTGTGCGATGAGGCGACAATCGCTCGCCCTCCTCCAGCTAAGCTACCGGCAAAAATAGTGCATGTGAAATTTCGCACACGTACACGTGCACATGCGAGCTTGCGACGCGACATGAAAGTTGAAAAATGTTCAACTTTTGTCGCTGTCGCTTAGCGTACAACCAATCACTGAGGGTTTCADTGACTGACCAATGAGAGGAGAGTATGCTACACACTGCCGTTAGCTAACACTTTCACCAAGTGATTACTAAAAAGCTTTGTGGGAATTTATTGGCACCAGGGTGAAGTTTATGGTACGTTTTTCCGATAAAACTGTATCTTGATGTGTGTTTGTTTTTCAACATCATTTGCATCGCAAGATTTGTTTAGTTTACACGTCCGTAATGCACACCCGCCTTCAGAGTCAAGAACCAATCAAATTTTGTGAAGACAAGCGACCTGAGAGCGCGATTTGCAACGCTGCGATCGCTATCGCGTCCCGTGTGTCAGGTTTCACCCTGGCTGCGATGACAGCCGTTAATCGCTGTAGTTTGTCGCCTCCCCGTGTGTCGAGCCCTTTAGAAAGTGGAGAAATGAGAAAATCTCTAACGCCAAGTTTTAAAAATCCACGTATGTTTGATAAGATTCGTAAATCGCTCTCATCTAGACCAGTTTTGTTTTTAAAACTGCGAAAATAAAGAATAAATTGAAAAACAAAATTAATTTTATTATAATGATTTAAAACATTTACTGTTTGGGGGGACATGGCATGGAAAAGTTTGGGAATCCCTCATCTAGACTAATTTTTAGGGCCAGATTTTAGTGATATGATACGTATCACGTTACGATATATCGCGATACATCACGATACTTGAAGCAAGGCGATAAATCACCAGTTTTTTCTCCAAGAGTCTAATTTTTAAAATCTCGTTATAAAGAACACACCACTTACCTGCATAAAACGGATTCAGTTTATTTTTAACAGGGAGAACTGAATTTCCTCTGCCTTGATCCAAACGGCATCAGGAAATGAAATATCGCGATATTTCATCATATCAATATTTTCTTACAGATATTTTTGTAAACTTTCTGAGCTGCTGGTTGTCATTTTCTCCAGTCTGGTTATAACTGAAAACATACAGAATATATATTTTTAATGTATGGCTGAATTGAACATCGGGTTTTGTGTTTGAGGTTCAAACATTTACGAAACTAAAAGTTACATTTTCTCTAAATGTGACCAAGTCACAGAGCTTTGTCTCTGTCTGTGTCTTGAAATAAGTATTAAAAGTACAAATTAAATAAAAATAAATAACAATCTAATTCATTTATAACCCAGAATAGTGGTTCAACATAATACTGGTCGAGAAACAAACAAGAAAAAAACAGGTTTATTGTTAGACTGATTTTCAGATATTCTTTTTTTCATCAAAGTGTGCATTACAGATTACAGCCTGTTTATTTTATAATAGAATATTAAATCCTAATTTGTGTTTTTCCACTCAGCAAACTGGACTTAAGGGATAATAAACATGTTTTTATTTTACTCTGAAATCCTCTTGAGTCCTTGTCACACAGATATCCACAGATGGGTGTGAAGTACTAAACATGTTTGACCTTTGACCCTCAGTTATTTTTAATTCTGCTGAAATTTACCTGAAACTATCCATTTTTATCCATTTATCCTGTGATTTATGATCCATTTTCACAACAACCTGCTTCCTTCGCCGCCCAGAATCAGCTGTGTTTCTTCTCGTCGTTAAGAAGTGCGTCCTCTCCTTCGTTCCTCCTCCTCTGTTCGGAGGAGCAGAGGAGGATTGTGGGTAACGTGGTCTAATTCTATCAGCGATGACTGATGCCCGCTCTGCCAGCAGCGGCGCACCGAGCTTTATTGCACCCATTTATACCGGCGTGGAGCTGCTGCTGCTGGGGGTTTGGAGGAGCTTTAATATCTCCTCGTGTTTTAAAAACTCCTAATATCTGACTTCCTTTAGGGGGTTTTCCACTTCCTGCCTCTAATTCAAGCAACATTTCCAAAATATATTCAACGTCCTCTGAAAATCTACGATGGTGTATTAGGGCCAAAAAAATAAACAGAGTAAATCTTTGCCATAAAACATAAAACTTAAATGCAAGACTTTTTGATATTTAAACTAAATATTCTAAAGAAAAAAASTCAAGTTTTCGTGAATGATTAAAGGGCAATTCCATCTATTTTTTCACTACCTGGAGCCTCTTTATTCTGCTCTAGTTTAAAAACTAAAAGACTTCAAATCTAGACTAGATTATTCTACACTGATTGTAGAATAATTAAAATGCCTGTGACATGCAAAGTCAGAAAACATCTTTATATTTAAGAAAGTTGGAATAATACACACGATTTTACCCATTTTGCCCCATAACTGGCAGATTTTCTTTTGAACTRGGCTCAGSCAAAGTGAAACAGGAAGTGACATCAAAGGGGAACWCTWWKAKAYAYAAKWCTCTGGTTTTTGTTTAATAAATCAATATTARTTAATCTCTGACTCTCTCTGATAGTGACTCAYAATAATCTTAAGAAACATCAGATTGTTCTGTACAGTCTTGTGGTGTAGCACTATGTTCACATGCAGACATTCCCCTTTGACATCACTTCCTGTTACTTTACAAGCAAATATCTCAACAACTGTTCATCTCAGCAACATGAAATTTATTTTTGCAATATTTTATCAAGGTCATCTTTTCAAAAATGCATTCATATGGATTACAAAAAATTGACATTACAGGCACTTTAAAAGCAAGTGGGAAACATATTTGATTTGTGATTTGGGRTTTTTCTGCACTTTTTATGTATTTTATGAACAAAATGAACCGGGCCAGATGGAGTGGTGACTGAAGCAACAGGAGCATCTAAAATAATCACGTAAAGAGAAAAGTAATTTCCCAATGATTAATGGGCATTTATTTTGAAATATCTAGTTATCAAAACAGGATGTGTCACCACAAGTTGGGGAAACATAAAATAATTAATTTAATTAAGTTTTCATAGTAAATTTCTGACTTTACAATGTAAAAGAAAAAAACATTAGGAAAAATTTTTGCCTTTAATCGTGAAAATTTTAAAGTTTTTTTCGACAGAAAAGAATTTCCTTAAATTGCTGAAAATAATCTCAACATTTAGGCGGAGATTTACTCCTGTTTTTTTGTTCTTTCAATGGCCCTGATACGCCGTCAAGTGAGAAACCTTTCGGCTGTCACTCAGCTCAGAAGTGTTCTCTTCTCTTCGTCAGCTGAGCAACGAGCCAGTTCCAGTCAGCCCTCAGATGATCGCCCTGGCTTCATTTGGTTTCGGGGGGGTGTGGGGGTCTCTTTAGCCCTCTGAATCGTTTTATGGCCTTCCCACCAACTGATGTCTGCTCCGCTCCCACGCCACTCTCAACACGGCGCCCGGCTATAAAAGTAATTAGGTCGGCTTTGTGCTGCAAATAACCCGCGCTCAGTTACTGCACCCAGACCGCTGATGAACATCGGAGGAGTTGTGGGACGAGTGCAGCTCTGTCCTGCAGGAGGACATCTGGAGGAGCCGGCAGAGTAACCGCTGTCCGTGTGATGTTCAGGTTCAGGTGAACAACAGGAAGTTGTGACGTAGAGAAATTTCAGCTAATGTGCCAAATTTTAGCTCAACATCCGTAAAAGTGGCAGAGTTTGAGTCATCAGTCAGCTGTGGCGGCCATCTTGAATCAGTTTGACTCCTAACGTTAATCTGTTATAGAAACATTACATTTCTGCAAGTTTTATTAAATTTCATTTAATGATTCATGAGATATTTTGCTAACAGTGTAGCCAAGTGAACACGTTCAATATTGTGTTGAAACGAAAACTCTCTCCTTTCTGGAACCACCTCTCCCTACATTCTACTCATAGGGCTGTCCCAATTGTCAAGGGGTAGTGATATCCTACTGTAAAAATATTCGTGTTCAAAGACTGAAGTCAGTAGAAAACCACCAATGTTAAATAAGATGATTGTTAGACGAGATAAAACCATACAAAACCAGAATTCTGGYYGTGAGGATTTAATGCCATTCGGATCTGACAGGAAACCACACACTGCCGAAAAACCAGGAAGTTGATCCATTTATACAAAGTCTTCAATGCCCGTGTTCGCCCCCTACTGACCTACGGCTGAATCACAGGCATTCATACACAATTCTCCCCTACATGTTCTCATAACGGATAAATATGTGTTGTTATAGATATTTCGGACATGTAACTAATCTATACCAATCAACACATTATAGATTAACCATTATAAAAAGGAAAACCTAAAAATATAGTGTTGTGCTTTTAACATCAGTACTAATCTGTAAAAACTATAAATTTCTTCACTACCTTTCAAAACTTTCTTTCCTTTTTTTGTTGACATTTTTAACTAAATAAAACTGTTTAAAATCTTAAATTAAAAATATTTAATTGTAATGTCCAGTTTGTTGTATTGAGATAATGTTTGAAATATGTTTACACAAAACTGTGACACTTAAAGGCCTCTCTGCTTTCTGCTGGAGAGTTTTACCCACTTCAGGTGATTCCGTTAAGAAACTAAAGCTCTGTTTGGCTCTGGTGTCTGATCTGCTTGTTTTAGTTGTTTTTCTTTGATTCATTGATTAAATTACCTCAAGTTCTGTAAAAAGCCTCGTAGCCACCGGTTCATTTAAATCAGGTGTCTTCATCAGAAAAACAGTTTTTTAATCTGTTTCCGCAGCAGTTTTTGTTGATTATCTCTGATTCTCCTCCACGATGTGGTTAAACTGTGRAAAGAGGTTTATTTCAAAATAAAGTGCAGCTCGGTGCTGTGGTGGTGTCACAGCTGTGTTCAACAGGACGATGGACGCCACAAAGTTAAGTTTGTCTTTAACACCGACTAACATCCATCTCACCATCATCAGCATGGTCTTCCTCTCACCCCCCCTCCCTCCCCCGTCTGTCTTCCTGCCTGCCTGTCTCACCTTCARTTTGACCTGAGAGGAGATGAGTTCTGGGCGAGTCCGACCGACTAACGGCTGGTAAGTTTCTGTGGGAGCTGATGTTTTGTTGTGAAGGTTTTACCTCGAACATCTGTAAAAACTAAAACCTTTAATCCTTACATCATATTTACTTTAACTTATTAGTTTCTGATTAAAAAGAAATCCAAGACCAGTCGCAAAGAAAACATATTATTTGTATATTTATATTTAAAATTCAAATAGGGCTGCACGATATTGGAAAAAGTTACAAAACAATCTATAAACAGTAAAATAAAAGTTWAAATTAAATCATACCTTGAATGAACAGGGTACAGAGTGCAGAAAAATGTTATATCTGCCCTTTATTTTTAAACAACTTCAACAATAAAACAAACTCAAGCAAAACTCAGATGACTTAAACAACACTGAAGGTCAGGGCTATTCAACTGACAGTCCGTGGGCCACATTCGGCCTGCCAGTGGTTTCAGTTCGGTCTTCCAATGAGGCCCCGCCCCCTCCCCAAAATGGCAAAAAAAAAATTTAAGTAATATAAGAACAGATTTTAAATCATTTGTAAATTAATAACGTGATTCAGCAGGGGGGAGGGTCAAACTCAGGTCCTTGAGGGCCGCCATCCTGCATGTTTTTCTGCACACGTACATTTCCACAATGATGCTGAAARGAAAATATCGTGCAGCTCTAAAGTCTCTAATAATCTGCAGCTGAAGAGAAGTATCAGTTTTAAGGGGGGGGTGCTTCAGGGATATTCTGTTTTAAACCATAAKATATTCAACATTTGTTGCTGTACACACTAAAAAATGAATGTTGGATTTAACCTAATTCAAAGCAATTTACTTATTTGAAATCAAAGAAAATTTGTAAATTGCTTTGAATTTATTCAACTCAGTTGAGTGGAACCAGTTGACAAAACTCTGTGAGGTAAACTGAACATTTCAGTTTTTAGAGTACGTCTTGTCAGGGTTGATTTAATGTTATTTAGTTACTAAATTTAAATTTAAATCATTAAGCTTTTAAAATACCAAACTTTAATCCAGATGATAATAGATTTTGTTGGGATTTAGGAAGTCAAATCAAGGTTTCAGGTTCTGTTCTTGTTTTTAAAGCATGACAGAATAAATRATCRTGTTGCAATTTTAGGCTTTTTAAAGTGAACAAGTTATAAATAACAATAAACATCTAAATATTTATCCCCCTGCTGTTTAATTTTTTTTGCAATAATAGTCTGATTAATGGTACAAAACGTAGAACAGGAGGGTTCACTCTGGGTGAGGTCCCGCTCTGAGTCGCAGCTAATCAAGCCGCCATCTTGTTTCCAGTCGAACACAAACAGCAACGGTCCGGGCGGCTACAGCCAGCCGGGTCGCCACTCGGTGTCCGTGGAGGTGCAGATGCAGCGACAGAGGCAAGAGGAGAGGGACTCGTTCGCCCAGGCGCAGCGGCAGTACAGCTCCCTGCCACGGTAAGAGTGARGACCAGGAGAGACTTCTACTTCCTGTTTGACGTCAGCAGGTTGTGACAGCCTGACTGTGGATGTGTCAACATGTGTCAGATTTATTGTAACAGCCTTCAGATGGTAATGATCCTCTGTAAATACCATCTGAGTGAGAAAACGGGTCAGATTACACACACACACACACACACACACACACACACACACACACACACACACACATGATCATGTTACAGATCTGACACGATTGTTTTCCTTTCCCTTAATGTAATTCCCTTTGATCTACACGAAACAGCAGCCAAATGTTCCAGGAAGTGCTGCCATGTGGGTGTTTTATTATTTCTGGGTGTTTGCTGCTATCKCCGCCCCTAATGGGCCCGATTCCAATGGGACCACTTTGAATATCACCAGGGGCGGAGCTAGAGCTTTTGGAAAGGGGGGCACGGGGGTGGCCAGGTGTTATCTAGAGCGGGGGCACATATAAAAAAACTACCCTGATTTGAAAAATAAAGATGGCACCACAGCTAAATTTAAATGGTTATAATTAAGCCATTTTAACACTAATTGAGCTAAAATGCTAAGCTAACRGCTAATGCTAATTTACAAAGCCACCAACGCTAATTCAAATAGTCCCTCAGCCACTTTGTAGATAAACTGAGCTGAAATTTGTTGTGGTGTAGCCAAGAATGATTGCTAGTCCCAATTTAAGCTAACAACTAATGCTAATTTTTCAAAGGACTATAATTTTGCCAATAAATACACAACTGAAAATGTATATAGCAGTAGCCCAGAATAATCTTTAACAAAATCTGAATGTAAAAACAAAGTCCAAGACGGCCACCAAAGCTAATTTCAAATAGTTATACCTCAGATATATTTTAGAAATACTGAGCTGAAATTTGGTAACATGGTAGCCAAGAGCAATCCACACGTAACTTTGAAATCTCAGTTTTAAGCATTTAGAGATAATAGTCTGAAATGTAGAGTGGTGGTAGCTGAGAGGGATGCCTAACAGATACTAAAATCAAATAAAATAATCCAAAATGGCCACTAAAGATAAATTAAAATGGCTACAATTCAGCCAATTTAAGACTAGTTGAGCTAAACTTGTTATGGTGTAGCCAAAATTCATTGCTAGTCCCAATTTAAGCTAACCGCTAATGCTAATTTACAAAGGGCCATAATTCAGTCATTAAAATACACAGCTGAAACTTAGATACTAGTAGCCAAGAATAATTCTTAAAATCTGAATGTAAAGAAAATCCAAAATGGCCACCAAAGCTAAATTTAAATGGCRATAATTCAACCATTTTTTATACATATTGAGRTGAAATTTGTTTTGTTGCTTCTATATTGTCACTTGTCAATCATTTGGGGGTGGCACCTGGGGTGGCCAATCAGGTGCCAGGGGTGGRACCCTGGCTCACCCCTCTGGCTCCGCCCCTGGATTTCACCTTTCCACTTCTGCTCCCYTTGACCCGGCTACGTAGCGATGATGTAATGCTCACTCTTCGCCTCGTTAACCTCCTTTAATCCACACGAAGTACGTTATCTCCTCTTCCCTCACCGCTGTACTCTAATCCAACCTTATCACCATAAATCTCCTCCTTGATGAATGTTTCAAACCGTTTTGGTGAAAGATTAATGAAGCAGCGTTCGGAGGCGACATCCTGAGACCCCCCACTCCCTCCACTTTTCCTGTAAATCCGTAAATACACAGTTTATTGTTTAGCTTTGAGCGCACCGTGAGATGGAGTAAAGGTGGCATWTAGGAGATGGTGTTGATAAGATGGTGGTTGTGAGGCTTCATCGCGACTCTGAGTTGTGATTAATGGCATTAGTGTTCCTTACAGAGCGGCTTTCATTGTGGATAAAGGTCACTTCCCTGCTGGGTGAGACCGTCTCCTAAACAAAGATGCTCGAATGAAAATAAACCGCTGGAATCCGAAACAATGACGAGAAGCGAAGGGCCCTCGTATTCATCATCGACGAGCTCCATTGATCTTTGAGCCAAAGTAACGTCGTAAAGTGAAGACCGGAGGTGGCGGCGTTTTTTTTCCTGAATACATATGTGTCAAATGTCAATCAGCCCCTTCCTCCTCTCACTTTTCCCCCCCTTTCTCTCCCATCGTCCGTCACGGATCAGCGTGTGCAGAGCGGCACGTGGAAGCGGATCCCCCTCAGCGCGGCGTCACGCAGAGCCAGAACTCGGCTCCGGCCTCTTTGTCAACATACGAGATGAAATCACATGTCGGGGACGCCCGTCTGAAAATTGGAATCAGTCGAGCGTGAGCGAGAATAAACCTGAGCTGTACTCGCATATCTCGCCGATCAACGAGTGTATCCATTCCCAATTGCGRTTTGCCGCTGTTGAATATATAAAATAAACCTTTCTGTTCTCATTAAAGCTTTTTTTTTTATTTCAAACACAAGAATAATYAGATTTCTTCACAGCTGGCTGATAAAGGTGCTAATTATGCGTGGCTCGGAATCAGAAGCTCAYTGTTTTTGTGCGTCTTTCATGTCCCTTCCCTCATTTTGCAGATAAACGGATGGGGCAGCTGGGTGGTGCATACTTACGCATGTCGGCTCACACACACACAAACACACACAAAGAGAAGCAGAGCTGCCACACCGAGGCCAGCCGAGCGGAAATGATAGGTGATGTCACGCATCTGGATTGTTTTTCTCCCCCATCCTCCCCACTAAAGGGCAGATTCATGACACCCAGCAGTGCCTTTAAGACACCGGTGTCAGGTGTCACATGACGGCACCGTCGTTTCCACCGAAGACGAGACGGTCACCTTCTTCTTTATTTATTTTTAACTGCAAAAAGGTCTGCAGTTACAGTCTGTCAGGTCCAATGGCTGTTTCAGTCGGTCTCTAAATGGGCCTAATGGGCTGMAAGAGGACGTTGACATGGTTAGGTATCCCTGGATGTTGTTGCCCAGAGGCGCTTTGTGAGGTTTCAAACACGTCTCATTTTTTATTGAAGGTGATGTTTCATCCAACATTTATTCAGTGTGAAAAATCTAAAAACCATCTTGTTTCTGAACAACTGATATATAGAATCAATTCATTTTTTACTTTTTTTATTTTTAGTTTAAAAATATCCATCCATTAATCCATCTRTAACTGAGAGGCAACAGGTCCAGCAGGGAATACAAATTCCCTCCGTCCGCCCAGCGCTCACTGAACTCAAGCTTCAGGTCCACATGGAGGAAGCTTCCTGTCACTCTTTCAGGCTTGACCTGATGGAACCAGAGGGAGTCGAGACTCGGCCACCAGGCTCTTACTAGAAGCTGACKCTTCCCTTGAGGCTAGCCTTTTTTGGAGACCCTGCCAGGAGATAATACCACAGGGTTTGGGTGGAGTTCTGAGGAGGAGGTTTTAAGATATCTGTTGGTGAAAAGATAGACTTTTAGTCATCAGAGAGAAGATGGTGCATAAAGCTGCTAAAGTCCCACCAGAAAGCTTCGAAAGACGTTTTAGAAAGTTTGAATCAGAACAGAAGGATTGGACAGAAAGTCTGATCAAAACTAGAAACCTCATAGCAGTAGCACCAATGCACCAGAATAGATTTATTGATTTGCGTGGGGGTCCGGAGGGGTGGGGGMGGCATTGATGGACCCGATGGATAGTCCTTAATCAGAGCTAAACAACAAAAAATAAAATAAGAAACCTGAAGCTCCTAAGTTGAATAGTTTCTGAGTTATAAGCATGTTTTTTATGTCCAGACACCCCCTTTTTAGATGGAGCCCCTCCTCAAATATGGGGTCTATCATAGAACCGTTGGGTGGCGCAGTGTAGGTTGGACTCATCTACATTCCTGCCAAATTTCATGTTGATTAGATAGATAGATAGATAGATAGATAGATAGATAGATAGATAGATAGATAGATAGATAGATAGATAGATAGATAGATAGATAGATAGATAGATAGATAGATAGATAGATAGATAGGAGCCCCACTTCAGGTGCGGGGGTCTTAATAAAAACCAATGGTCATTGTCTATGTGTAGCCCTATTTTTAGCTAAAACCACTTGAAGTCGTCTCACCAACTCTTTGTTTCTTCAATCAGACAACCCAGGAAGAACCCCAGCACAGTCTCTCAGGACTCCTGGGACAAGGTGTACCCACCAGGCGAGGTCTTCCAGACCGCCAAGGACAACCCCAGGTACTCCAGCTACCAGGGCTCCAGAAACGGCTACCCGGGCGGTGGCGGGGTCAACGCCAGAGTCCTCCTGGAGGCCCAGGAGCTCCTGAGGCAGGAGCAGCGCCGCCGGGAGCAGGAAGCCAAAGGAAAGTTGATGCAAGAGGGCGGAGCCAACAGCAGCTACGAGGGGTACGCCGCGCACCCGAAGGACCCGGCGTCCCCGAAGGGTCCGTACCGCCACGACGTCCCGCCGTCGCCTTCGCAGTTAGCWAGGCTCAACAGGCTGGGGTCGGAAAAAGGACGACTTTTTTACTCTTGAGGATTATTCCTCGACTGAAGGATGAATGTAGAGAGCGACGGCGAGGGAGAACGCCATGAACCTGAACGAAGGACGGCTTTAGAGATCTTGTTGATCCTCCTCCTCGCTGTTCTCCTATCCCGGGTGTCCCCCCGCCCTCCAACCACGAGACGCTCAGTGCCTTCTCTGTATTCACGAACARGGAGCTCCTCGAGAACCCCGYCACCTCTACGGACCGACAATCAAARGGGAAAACYGGCGAGGGAGTGGGCGTGAGTTTCTGCGTGGGCGCGTGACGAGGTTCTCGTCTCCCGACCACCCGTCCCACCTGTCGCCAACGCTCGGCTCGTTCTCTGAAAATCTGCCCCTCTTTCCTCCTGAGGGAGCGCAGGATCCACGGCGAAGTGTGGGAAGTAAAGCAGGCCACAGTGTGTGTTATTAATACAAGCCCCGCCCCCTTCATGAATGATTCATGTTGTGTTTTCGTGGTGGAGGAGGCTCGGACAGCTCTGATCTTCTGCATGGCTCTCCTTTTCCTTTTTTTTTTTTTGTTCTCCTTTCTTCTACCTCAACACCTCCCCTCTCACCCCTCCTCTTTCACTCACTTCTTCTCCTCCCTCCTCCTCCTCCTCGTCTCCCGAGTCGAGCTCTGCACTGAATTTTTCATCAGAAGCCACCTGCTGCCTGCRAGAGCCAAAGCACGCTGCCACCAGAGGCGCCGACACAGGGCCCAGCTCCTGAC